TTAAAATATTATGTTGCACACCTTAAATATATGTAATAAAACTTCATTACAAGCACACTCTGTGAACTTGAGCTAGTTATTGATATTTTAAAATTCAGTTTTCTCAGTAACAAAATGGGCATAAATAAACATAGGGCTCAAAGAATATAAAGAGGAAGAAAAGAGGACAGTGAAGTAGAGAGAGAGTGGAGAGAGGAGAAAGAGAATAGGGTAGGGGGAAAGGAAGAGAGAGAGGGAGAATGGGTGGAAGGGATGGGTGTTATCTTTAGATCAAACAAAATCATTTCTAAACCAACCTTAGTTCCCCATCTGTCCCCTTTCCTTTGTTTCCCTCAGCCCCTCTTCCTGTATCCTCTACTCAGGGGATTGACAGCACCCAGTCATAACCCTCCACACAGGAAGGCCCTGCCAGCTCCAGGACTGCTGCGGATGTGACCAGCGAGCCCATTCAAAGCACAGCATGAAGATGACAAATGGCACTGGTCTGCTTGAATCAGGTTAACTTCGCCTGGGCTGTCCTCGTTTAAGGAAGATAGAACATCACGTTGTTGGGGAAGCCTGAAAGTAATTAATTTATCTGCCATTATTAGGCTTTTATTTAGTCACTCTCTCTCAACTAAAACTTACTTTTAAATTACCATTGTTGTGCTCTATTGAGGAAGAAAAGTACAACATAAAACAAAAATACTTCAGTTTTTGGTTTTGTTTTCTTCTGGAAAGGAGGGGTGGCAGGGAAAATGAGAATAAAGGATAACAGTCGGGAGCACTTACTAGGTGCTGTCCCATTTTTTAAGTGATGTATATACTTTATTTCATTTTGCCATCATCATGACTTTATAAGGTCGACATGATTATAGATCATCTCCTTTGTATAGAGACAATGCCCACACAGAAACTTTAAAATGTCCTCAATTAGACCTTGAGCTAGAAGAGTGGAGCTGGAATCGAAACCCAGATACTCTGATTCTAGAATTCTGGAACTTAATCTTTACACTGAGAGTGAGCTTGGGCCTGAAGTTGGACAAACCTGGGTTCAAGCATCAGCCCTGCCAACTAAGGGCCAAGTAACCTTGCGAGCATAATTGCTTCATACTCTGTGAGCATTCATTTCTTCATGAGATAATGTTTGTAAAAACCTTTAGCATGAGGCTTGGCATAGAGTAACTTTTTCAAAAAAATGTTAGCTTAGAATAGCTTCCCTTCACTGTGGAAGTTTCAGAAATGGCGATGTTCCTTTGTTTAACTTGCTAAATCACAACACAGGCACAGTTGACATTGGGGCAACTATTTATTTTGAAGCATTTTCTGCTTTTTCAATAAACTCCTAAATAGGATTTAAAAATTATCCTGGAAGGAAGCAGACTGTGTATAATAATAAATTGCTACCCTATTATTCTGCTTTCGTAAATACTATCTAATCCTTATTGTTTTGTCTAGATCATTAAGAAACTGTATTTGAAGGGCTCAAAGGAACGTGAGGTTGTAGAAAAAACTCAAGTTCAAAACTCAGATACAAAAACTCTTTCTGCTCACAGACTAGACACACATACCTGCTTTGGTTTTTGTGTTGAATATACCTGAATATATACAGGAAACCTTTGAATTTTCTTTGAAAAGGGATATGTTACAAAATAATAGCTCCATGCCATGAGGAAGAAATCTTAGACTGGTACCCACGGTACCAAATTCAGTTTCATGAATGTGTACTATTCATTGGCTTTGAGCTAGTTGGTTGAGTAAAATGAGGGAAACAATTTAGGTACCTTTTCTTTCTTTTAATAATACGTGGAAAAGCAGTACCAATTTTCCTAATACCCCCCGTTATTATGCCTGAATAGGATTGCAACTCTGCAATTTAAACTATTTCCTAAGATGTTTTCTGTCAATGTATATTGTCTTTATACCAACTAATTCTAAAGAACCTTAGTAATTGTCATCTTTTTCAACAAACCCTGTAGGTGAGAATAACTAGACTTCCAGCAGTGAAGTACAGGTAAAGAGAGCAGAGCGGTGAAAAGAGAATAGAAAGCCAGGCCAGAGGCTCTGGAAACAGGCCAGCGAAGGGGGCCTGGAGGAAGAACAACAGGGTGGCGTGTCTAATTGTTAGCTCTATCTCAGCCTTTTAAAAGACCCTTGACCCCAAGGAAGAAAGCAAATGGCCTCTTTCCTCCCAAACCATGTGGATCTAAAGAGATTCTCTTTCTTTGAAAAGATTATCATGGTTTCATTTTATAGTATTTAGAACCAAAAGAAGAAGAACAGAGGGGAAGAGGACAAGGGGAAGAGGGAGAGAAAGGGGCAGGCGCAGAGAAAAAGAGATGGGGAGGAGAAGGGATGAGATGGGAGGGAGGGGAAGCGAAGGGGATGGGAGATAAAGATGCTGCAGGATCTCTTTCCCACTTGCTGACAAAGTAAACACTTTCTAATTTGTTTCTGGTACTCATCAAAAATAGAAGGCAGTGATAGAAGAAAAGTGGGCGAGAGTGCAAATGAGAAAAAGAGGGTGAGAGTAAAGGAGAGAGAAGGAAGCAGGGGAAATACAGGAGTGATGGAGATATGAAGAGACAGAAAGAGGAAGAGACAGGCCAACAGGATAATCACAGTTGAAATCGCTTTCTATCTTGCCTGATGAATGTTTTTAGGACCTATCTTATCCCACACATTGGGATAAGCTTCCAAAGGCTACCCCACCGTGGTACCAGTCATGACACAATTCTGGGCCAGTCCAGGAACTAGCCCCATGCCTCAGTGCATTACCAAGAAATCAGACACACCAATGACACACTCTGTGTATGTCATTTCTGGATTAGAAACTTATTTTTAAAAGCAAATTTAAGAGTCAACGATTATTTTCTAATTGCAAACCAGCCATATGCCTTATACATATGTCTTCAGAAGCAGAATTGGTGGGACAGAGTAGGAAAGTCATGTCTTGTATTTATCAGAGCAGATTCCTAACAGCCAGACGCAGTTATGGGCAAAGACATTTGCGTCCTGAGGTGAAATGGAGAGAGAGAGAAACAGACAAAGAATACATTACTATCCACTGGCTCTTCCATCATCAGCCCAGAAGCGGTGCAAGTCACTTCTGCTCAAATTTTATTAGCCAGAAAGATTTACATGACTATCCCTAACCTACGGGAGCAAGAGAACAACCCTACTAGGCCTTGATGGAGAAAGGGCCAGAATGTTGATAAATAATCCTGTAGCTACTAAGAGGGAAATAGCCTTTTGAGAAGTGTTCTAGGTAAGAGACTTGCATGTGAAAAGTCCCAGAGACAAGAGAAAGCCGAGTGTTGCAGGCTCTACTAGAAGTTCAGAATATCTGAAGTATGGGTTTCAAAGGAAGAACTTGTGAACGATAAAGCTTGAGAGTTAAGCATAAGATCACTTACAGTCTTATAAGCGGCATTAAATAACTTGGATTTTTTTTATCTTAAAACAACAAAGGTTTATTCTCCTGCTTCTTACCCATTGAGTTTTTTGAGGGCTCTGATCTCACAAAATCCTTAGACAGAGCTGGGCGCCGTGGCTCAAGCCTGTAATCCCAGCACTTTGGGAGGCCGAGGCAGGTCAATCACGAGGTCAAGAGATCGAGACCATCCTGGTCAGCATGGTGAAACCCCATCTCTACTAAAGATATAAACAATTAGCTGGGCATGGTGGCACGTGCCTGTAATCCCAGCTACTCAGGAGGCTGAGGCAGGAGAATTGCCTGAACCCAGGAGGTGGAGGTTGCGGTGAGCCGAGATGGCGCCATTGCACTCCAGCCTGGGTAACAAGAGCAAAACTCTGTCTCAAAAAAAAAAAAAAAAAAAAAAAATCCTTAGACAGGATCCCAGGCTGACACAATGTCTAGAATCTATAATTTTTTCCCCCATGTTTATTGTATTTTATTTTTTTAAATGTTTCTACTTTTAAAAAGTTTTTTGTTTTTGTTTCTTAAGATACACATGTGCAGAATGTGCAGGTTTGTTACATAGGTATACATGTGCCAGGGTGGTTTGCTGCATCTATTGACTCATCCTCTAAGTTCCCTGCCCTTGCCCCTGACTCCCCAACAGGCCCTGGTGTGTGATGTTCCCCTCTCTGTGCCCATGTGTTCTCATTGTTCAACTCCCACTTATGAGTGAGAAAATGTACTTATAACTTGGAATTTTATCCTAAAAGCAATGGGAAGCCATTGAAAGATGTAAAGGTTTGTAGCAATGCAATTAGAGCAGTATTTGAGAAGATATCCTTGCTGAATAGCCTGGAAGGAAACAAGAATGAATTCATTGATTCATTTATCAAATACAGTACTGTATGTCAGGCATCAGATCCCCCACTTAGGGGCGTGAAATACAGTGGATTCAGGGAAAGCATGAGGGAGCTGTTCATGGCTCATATCCAGACAAGTCATGTGAGTGACCTGGACTAAGATATTAAGGTATCAGAGATAGGGATAGAGAGAAGTGGGCATATTTGAGAAAAAGCTATTGGGTGTGGATGGTGAAGGAGGGGGAGAATTCCATAAAAAATTCTTCCTGTGGTTTGGTCTGCAGGGTGAAGAGTGATGTCATTTCCTGTGATGGGAGCACTGTTAATGAATAGGTGTGGACAGGCAGGAAGTTGGATAAGTTCCATTTTGGCACAATATTTGAGCTTGTAACTGAGTTCTTGTTTTGTATTTGTTTTTGTCATTGGATTTAATGATTTCATTTAGTTGTATGAAACATTACTTTTTAGCTACCTTCTTGGATTCGGTGACAGAGCATTTAAAATTTTCCCTGGCTTGGACCCAGGCACTCTCCAGACTCAGTTTTTGGAGCTCCATCCTCCCCTCTTCTTCTAAGCTCCTGACTGTCAATGGGAAAGATGGAGACATTTGTAAGGTACTGGCTTCACCGCACCCAGGGGTGGGGAGAAGCTCGTTCAGATAACTTCACCTACTGTTCATTTAGTTCAAAGGCCTATGCCATCTCTATCATTTGCAAGTATTTATATTCAATTGCACAATATTAAAAAGCAAAAACCACACTGAAATTTTAATGGCTTCGAACATCCAAGTGATGGTGAGGATGTGGAGTGAACTTTTCTTCAGTGCTCTCAGGAGTTTAAATGACGTACAAACCCTTCGATGTGGTTGATCCACTGCTTGGTACGTACCCTAGAGAAACTCATGCACATATCTCCCAGGACCCATGAGCAGGAGGAGTACATATTGCAGAATTCTTTGTCATATCTAAAATTGAAAAAAAAAACTAAATAACCAGAAAGAATAGAATGTATAAATAACTGTTGTCTATTCACAAAACAGTATATCCGCAGTAATGATCATGACCAAATCATAGCCATGATTAACATTATAGATGATTCTCACATGTAATGATGAATGAGAGAAGCAAGACAAGGAATTTTAACTACAGTTCAATTTAAATAAGGTTCAAAATAGACAAAGCTGCCACATTATTTAGGTATGGGTAACAAACCACAAAGAAAAAAAATATGATTATCAAAAATTTCAGGGTAGTCTTTACCTCTGGAAGGAGGGTTTGAGTTGGGACAAGGGAGAGGCACCCCAGGACTTGGAGCTCTTGGGGAGCTGTAGAAGCTCTGTTTCTTATGAATGAAATTGACTCTTATACTTTAGGGGTAAAGAATTAACCTAAATTCTGTTTTTGAACATTGATTCTAAACTCAAAGGTAAGATATTGCTTTAATGTGAGTTCTCTACACTCATCAAAAAGAGAGGTTTGTAGTGATAGGTTTAGATGTAGGAAAGGGGACAAAGAAATGAGCTGGTGTTGGATCGCAGCAATTGGTGAGAAGACATTAATGCAGGAGGACTCTTTGACTAGCCTTGTTCTGGGGACAGACACCTGCTGCCCTGAATCTGAGGGTTACATCCTTTTTTCACATTCTGCCTAGATGGGGCATCCGATTATTTCATTCCTTTCTTTTAACTTGGTTCTCAGTCACAGTGGCTTTTAGGGGGGTTGTTCCTTTCATCAGGGAGTGGAACATGCCCCAGAGTCACCTTCTGAGTTATATTTATGTAGAGTGATGGCCTCCTAAAGGTCTTTGTGTGGATTATGGTGGCATACATTTCCTCTGCAAATTTTTATTACTTTTTTTGTTTTCTGATTATTAATGTAATACACAAAATCTACATGCATTAACTTACAAAGGCCACAAAGACATAACATTGAATACAGCAAAAAGTTGTAGATACGTAGAAAATATCATTTATTTTTTGGCGGTGTATTTTTATGTGACTGTATATGCATGCCAAAGCAGAGAAAAAAGTCCTAGGAAGCTAGACAACAGAGGTTTTCAACTGGTAGTGATTTTGCCCCCCAGAGGACATTTAGCAAAGCCTGGAGACATTTTTAGTTGTCAAAACTAAGAGGTGGGTGCTCCTGGCATCTGGTGGGTAGATACCAGGGATAAGCTATCCTACAATGTACGGAAGAGCAATCCCCATCCACTCTTAAAAACAGTGTTATCCTGCCCAACACGTCTACAGTGCTGCTGCTGAGAAATCCAGCCTCCCACCAAATATGTTACTCTCTATGGAGGGGACTGAGATGATAAGATACTTAGGAAGTATTTCAGCCCTATCTGTGGTGTTTGAGTTTCAAATATGACGATTTTCTTATAATCTATAAAATATTAATAAATGTATGAAAACAATCTGTATCTATTACAAAACAATGGTCAATATCAAAACATTAAAAAGAAATCAATTAAAACTATCTAAAATTCACTATTCAGATATCTGGTATTTTAAAAATCATTTTTCCTATGCGTATATCTGTGCACATGTAGAATTATATTTCTAAAATGATGATAACACTCTGCATTAGGTTTAACATCTTTTCACTCAAATTATATAATGAACATTTCCCCAGGTCCCATATTAATTTACGTCAATAAATATTTCTCAAAAACAGAATTTTAAGTGGCTGTGAAACATTCAGTCTAAATGGATGCATCAGAGCTACATTTCTAAAATAAATTCAGAAATATTTCTAATAAGGCAATGTTTATGTTTAGAGTATCTTCAAGTGAAGACAAATTTCTGAAGCAAAGAGGTTTATGAGGAGAATAAGGCGTATCTCAAAATACCAACTTCAGATTTCAGTCCTGTAAATGAGCTCTTTTCACTACTGAACAAAATTAACAGAAATGAACGGATAGCATACACATTTGAAAATAGAAATTTGAGAGCTAACTGCCAACTTTGAAAAGATATTACCTAATAATGTTGCTACAGCAAGAAACCTCCTAAAATACAAGTAATTTCCACTTGTGGTTTAATTATTCCATTTTCTCAAGAACATAGTTTGGAGCTCAAGTATGCATATTGGGTAGCGATTAACCTTCAATAGTAACATAGAGGACATCAAATAGCTTGTTTAAGCATCTCTCTTCTTGAAATGCCACTAACATAAATTAAATTCCAATTTCTATTCACGGATTAGAGCAAATTGCTCATTATGGTCAGGCAAATGGAGACCTTTGGACAAGTGGGAGGACGTGGAGTCAGAAATGACTGCCAGTGAGAAGGTTTGTGGCAGTGAAAAGACAGGAAGGTGAAAGAGCAAAGGCCCTTAGCAAGTGCAGGCTCCCCGCCTTCCCAGAGCTCAGCTTTCCCACACTTTGGCCACAGGCTCATTTAGCTCCGGGTGGTTTGAAAATGCTTCGAGGTCACCACCGGATTATTTTCTGCTCCACACACTTGACTTCACATGTCTTCAGGGTAATGGGAGCATTTAGTGGAGCAGTTGGAATTTGTTTCCTGAAATGCCATGTATTCAGAAGACAAAGTGACAGGATGATGATTCTGTGGAGGTAAGGCAATATTCGGGACAGCCAAGTTCCTCTGTGGTTAAAGATGGGGACTCTGGAGTCATAATCTCCACAGAGTAACTGTGTAACTTTGGACAAGTCACCTAATCTCTCTGTACCTCAGATTCCTCTATCTGCCCAGTGGTAACAGCTCTAATTACCATGTCTTGTGATTGCTTGAGGATGAATGAGACTGTCTTTGTCTGTTTGTGTTGCTATAACAGAGAATATCACAAACTGGGTAGTTTACAAAGAACAGAATATTATTTCCTCTCAGTTCTGGACACTGGGAAGTCCAAGATTAAGACACCCAGAGGTTCAGGTGTCTGGTGAGCATCTGGTCTCTGCTTCCAAGATGGTACCTTGAAAGCTGCATCCTCCAGAGGGGAAGAACTGTTGTGTCCTCACATGACAGAAGGCAGAAGGGCAAGAAAGGGCAAACTCTCTACCTTAAGCCCTTTTGAAATAGCATTAATCCATGTAGGAGTGGGGATGCTTCATAGCCTAATCCCTCTGAAAGGCCCACCTCTTAACACTACCACACTGGCAACACCTGAATTTTGGAGGGGGCACTCGAACTGTAGCAGAGGAATGTACAGAAAGCAGTGCCCTGGGCACCAGGGCTTGTTCAGTCTTACAAGGTGAATTTTGGAGGGGGACACTCGAACTGAGCAGAGGAATGTATAGAAAGCAGTGCCCTGGGCACCAGGGCTTGTTCAGTCTTACATGGTGAATTTTGGAGGGGGCACTCGAACTGTAGCAGAGGAATGTACAGAAAGCAGTGCCCTGGGCACCAGGGCTTGTTCAGTCTTACAAGGTGGATTTTGGAAGGGACACTCGAACTGTAGCTGAGGAATGTACAGAAAGCAGTGCCCTGGGCACCAGGGCTTGTTCAGTCTTACAAGGTGTTACAGTTCTCTGTTTTACTCTACTCCTCCAACAGTCTGAAACATCCAATTCTCTGAATGACAAAGGGTTCTATTAAGCTCAGAAGAGTGTTCTGGGGGAGTGTAAAGAGAAGATCAAGGGCACTGGGGAAGGTTTCACAGAGAACACTCTTCCCCTATGGCCTGTTAGCCTCTCTCTGCTCTGACCTATGCATCTTTTGCTGGACTTGTTTTCAAGGGGCTTTTGCTCTCAGCATGGGTGAGATAAATAAATCTAGGCTGACTTGTCCTTTCTTCCTGATTTAGGAAGGGAAAAACAGCTTTCTAACTTAGTGCTTTTAAGGAAATTGCCATTTACACACTGATTCATTTATTCAGTTGTTCAATAGAAAGCATGTCTGCTCTCTGTGGCAAACACGGTATCAGTAGATGAGCAAAACGAGACCCTATTCTGAGAAAGCTCGTGGTTTGTGGAAAGAGGGAGATATTTCAATAGATCTCAACAGAACAATGAAGACTATTAACAAGCAAAACAACAGCAAAAACACAATCACTGACCCCTTTCTCTATATTGTTTTTTCCAGCTTCCCTTAAAAAAAAAAAAAAATCTGCCTCTTCTCATAAATGCTGGTAAAGAAACCAATATTTCATATTTAAAAACTTGTGGCTTACATTCAACCCATGGAACATCTAGCAGAAATTCCTTCCAGAATGTTTAATCAAGTAACTATTGTCCCAGTCTCTCAGAATGCAACTGGTATTCACTACTGTTGAGTCCTCTCCCATTTCTCGTGTTGAAAAAATATGTCGGGCATACGCAGTGCCAATATACTTTTTCAGGATTCGGTTGTTTCAAAAGGGTTTTTTTTTTTTTGACAGAGTCTCACTCTGTCTCCAGACTGGAGTGCAGTGGTGCAATCTCGGCTCACTGCCGCCTCCACCTCCTTGGGTTTAAGTAATTCTCCTGCCTCAGCCTCCTGAGTTGCTGGAACTGCAGGCACAGGCTACCCCACTTGGCTAATTTTTGTATTTTTAGTAGAGACAGTTTCATCATGTTGTCCCGGCTGGTCTCAATCTCCTGACGTCGTGATTTACCTGCCTCAGCCCCCCAAAGTGCTGTGATTACGGGCACGAGCCACCACGTCTGGCCTGGAAGGTTTTTTTCTTTTTATTTGGCAGGACAGATTTGTTGATGGTTAGTATTCTCACTTAATACCTTTTTTTTTTAATGACTTTGACTAAAGTCACATGGTTTCTTTCTGGCCTGCAAAGTTTATGTTGATAATTCAGTGGTTACATCATACCACTGAATTATCAACATAAACTTTGATAGTGTAATTCGTCAATGACACATTACATTTATCTTGCAGCTTCCAAGACTTTCTTCTTGTTCATGATTTTTGAAAATGTGCTTGTATATATATAGTTATAATCTGCATGTATTCAACTTGTTCATTGAATTTCTTTATTTTCACATCATTTTCCTTTTATGATTTTCCAGTGA